CTGCTATGATCATCAATCTTGTTTCAATGTTTTCAGTTCCATGGTCAAAGTTGACATTTCTTGACATAAGCTTCGTTCGGGTAGCTGGACCAATTCCTCCTCCTTTAAGCAACTCAACTTCATTAACCTTTTTCCGAGCTGATGGTTGCTCAATCCAAGGGTCGATACCTTCTTCTGTCACAGACCTTAAGAAATTAAGTGTACTGATGCTCAATGACAACAACATTACTGGCCAACTTCCTGTATCAATGTCCAGTTTAATAAGCCTTCAGTACTTATCTCTATTTCAGAACAGATTAGAAGGGCATATTCCCATTTCAATTTGTCGAATCCCCTCTCTCGAGTACCTGAATTTAGAATGGAACGATCTAACAGGACGTCTTCCCTTGTGCATACTTCAGCTTCCTAAGCTTTCATCACTTTATATTCAGAGGAATAGGCTGAATGGTAATATGCAATTGTCTTTATTCCAGAAGTCTAGATTGGAAGAAATAAGTTTAGGAACAAGTGGATTGTCATTGGAAATTGATGATCAACATCAACTCTTTGTGCAAACTTTCCAGCCCAAGATTTTGGAATTTACATCTTGCAACATGAGAGGAGAAATCCCAGAATTCTTTTCAAATTTGTCGAAACTCGTGGTTTTAAATTTGGTTAACAACAGTCTATCAGGAGCCATACCATACTGGTTGTTCAATCTCCCATCCCTCTCTATACTAGCTTTGTCTATGAATAACTTCGAGGGATTTATACCGCCAATGATTCAGCTGAAATCTTCTCGTTTCCCAACAATAGTAAATTTAGCTAGAAAAAACCTTCAAGGTCCTATCCCTTCTCAGCTCGTGAATGTTAATGTCATCGATTTGACACTCAACAACTTTGTAGGCTCAATACCAACACTGATAGGAGAAGCTCCCGGTATCAGGTCCATATCCTTATCCGGAAACAAAATTCATGGTCCAATACCTGAATCATTTTGCCGAGAAGGTAATATTCTCCAGGTTCTTGATCTCTCCAATAATAGCTTGTCAGGTACCATTCGACGTAATTTGGGAAACTGCAAATCTCTCATTTACCTTAATCTTGGACAAAACAAGCTCACTGGAAGTGTTCCAAAAGAACTTGAACGCGTTACAAGCCTTCATTATCTGGACCTGAATGGGAATGAGTTTGATGGATCTTTTCCAACAATGATTGAAAATTTTCAAGATTTGGAAATTCTGAACTTGGCAGGCAATAGATTTAAAGGAAGGATACCAAAGTTCATCGGCGACCTACACCACCTCCGCATCCTCGTGCTTGCATCAAACTCTTTCAATGAATCTATCCCAGAAGGGCTAATGAAGTTAGAAAATCTACAATATATTGGTTTGTCCAGGAACAATCTATCTGGCCCCATTCCTGAGAATCTTGATGGCTTGAAAGCGATGACGAAAAGACAAAATGAGGCGACCATCTTAGGTTATGTTTACTCCCTCAAGTTCACTGGTGCTCAGCTAGAAATTGTCACCAAAGGACAGACACAATGGCTCGAGTCAGTGTATTCCTACAACACTGGATTCGACGTCTCAAGCAACGCTCTCACTGGTAAAATCCCTGAGAAAATTGGACTTTTAAGTGGACTTCCATTCCTGAATCTCTCACATAATAATCTTTTCGGACTTATCCCAAAGACTATTGGTGCGATGAGTTCCCTCGAGTCGTTGGATCTCAGCTATAACCATTTCACAGGGGAAATTCCAGTGACATGGACACTGTTAGATTTTCTCCAGCATCTCAACATATCTTATAACAATTTGAGTGGAAGGATTCCAAGCGGTCCGCATTTTGACACACTGTATCAAGATGGAACAGCATATATTGGAAACAAATACTTATGTGATGCACCTGGTGGGATGAATTGCAGTAACAATGGTCCATCTATCACTGAAACTGTAGAGAACAAATATGATCAAGAAAATGTCCCTTTTGTTGTAGTTATATTCTTGGGCTTTGTAACAGGACTTTCTGGAGTATTTCTACTCTTATACTTGATAGATGACAATTGGAGGAACATGTACTGGAGGGCAGTAGACAGAATTGTGTTGAAAATAGTAAACAGTGAATCATGAGATATATGACAGCAGTCATTGAGTTCAGTTTTCAGTTTTCACTTTAAAGGTTTGGCTGCTGGAGCAACCATCAATATTCTTTTTCTCTTTTTTTTTTTTTTAAAAGCCAGAGAAGTTAAAATGAAATTATTTTCCAAAAATGGAAATAAGGACTGAGCACTAGGAAAGAGAAGCCATTCTTGTAGTACTGAAGAGGCAGTTATATAGTCCTACTCTTATAATCAGATTACAAAGTTCTGTTTTCTTTCTCAGCTAGGTCTAGATGTTTATATATTATATTCCCAATAATGCTAAAGATGTGCTTCTTTCAAAATGGTATTTTAGCTTTTAACATTGTTTTGTTGGAGTTACAAGAACAAAAATTGTAAAGGATGATCTTTTCTCTATTGTATATTTCTCCAAAACTGCATGGAGTGGTTTGGGTTTACATACTACTTATGCGGGTGAATAATAATGAATGAATTATATGAAGAGGTTAATAATGAGGAGATTATTATACATGAATTACTAACTTTAAAAGAGTATTTTGATATATTAATTCCGTTTCTAATAGATGTATTCTTGTTCGACATTTTATTTGGCATAAAATAATACAGTAATTTTCATATAACTTGTACAACTGTTATTCAATACCCCCAACCAAATGATGCATTAGTTATGTAGCGATTAATTTTTTTTTTATGCGGCCAACTAAACACTATTATATTATACACGATTTTATTTGGGATACATTAATTGATCCAACGCCACAACCAAAAGACATGTATATGTATATTTTCATTCTAACTACCTGGAGATATAGAAGATGAGACAAACCATATTGTAAAAGTATATATCTATCATAGATTGACTAATTTTATAAATAATTTTACAAATAATCACTAACTTTTACTTTATTACACCAAAGTTGCTAAATTATTTTTTGTGATGGCAAAGTTACTCAACTTTGCTTAATTATCACGCGAAGTCACAATACGATGTTTATTCATCAACAACAACAAAGTTACACCAATTATATCATTCAAGTATTGTATACTTAGTTTCAAAGTCACCCACTTTCCCAAATATCAAATTAGAAATACCGAACAACTCCATTTGTATCAACATCTCACTATTCATCATCTCTTACTTTAAAATCATCATTTTCAAGACTCATTTCTATGGTTCCTCTAATCTATAGTTTAAACCCCAATTTTGTTCCATAATTATATTATAGAAGCTTAATAAAACACAATATATAAAAATGAAGAAGTGGGGTTATCTCTTTAGCAAACTCTGGATTTCAAGACTTTGATGTTCTTGAGTTTCCTTAAAGAATAGAAAATTTTATAAATCTCCAATTGTCTGGATATTACTACTTGCATTTAATGGAAGAAAACTACCAAAAATCTTGATCAAATCTAGAGCAAGCTCTCACTGATCAAAGGAAGAAGATGATGGAAAACAGAGAGAACAATGAGCGGAAGAAAATGAGCTGATTTTCATTAAATTGATCTCTATACAAATACAATGTATAGCTCATTATATATAACTACCACTAACTGCTACTGCTTCTTTAACTTAACAACTGTGTACAGCTGTCACTACTAACTAACTAACTGACTGCTAACTTCTTAACTAACAGCTTTCACTCTTCAACACCCTCCCTCAAGTTGATGGTTGAAATATATTTTTCAACCCTAGTTTGGATACAAGAGAGTCATGTTGTAGCTTCCTAAGCTTTTAGTCAGAAGATCTGCTCTTTGGTAGGCACATAATGTGTTTTGATCATTCCTTGAACTATTGTCTCCCGGACAAATTGACAATCAATGTCAATATGTTTTGTCCTTTTATGGAATATAAGATTGGCTGCAATCTGAATGGCAGCTTTGCTGTTACTGTAGAGATCTATAGGCCACTGTACAGTTACTCCTAATTCCTTAAACAGACCAGTCAGCCAGGTTAGTTCTGCAACAGTTGAAGCCATGCTTTTAAACTCTGCTTCAGCTGAACTTCTAGCAACAGTGTCTTGCTTCTTAAATTTCCAGGACACTAGAGCATTGCCAAACTTTACTAGATAGCCAGTGACAGACCTCCTAGTTTGTAGACATCCTCCCCAGTCTGAGTCACAAAAAGCTTGTAGTTTGTCTGATCCTTCAGCTGACATTAGAAGGCCAAGTCCAGGTGCAGCTTTAATATACCTTACTACCCTTAGGGTAGCTTCCATGTGTGACTACTTGGGCTTGTGCATAAACTGACTAAGCACTTGCACTACAAAGGCAATATCAACTCTAGTCATTGTCAAATACAGTAGTCTGCCAACAAGCCTTTGGTATGAACCTGCATCAGTGAGTAACTTGTCCTCAGTAGCTTCATTTTTTTTGAGAAATGAATCATACTAGAGGCCAACTTCACATTACTTTCCAGTGGTGCACCGGCAGGCTTAGCACCTCTAAGTCCCATTTCTGCAATTAGTTCTAAAGCATACTTTCTTTGGCTCACGACAATCCCTTTGTCTGATCTGGCAAATTCTATGTCAAGGAAGAACTTAAGCTCTCCCAAGTCCTTCATTTTGAACTTCAGCTTCAGGTCATTTCTTGTCTTCAGAATCAACTTATTACAACTTCTAGTTACAAGGAGATCATCTACATAGACCAACACCACAACCAACTCATTATGTATGTGATTTGTGAACAGGGAATAGTCAAAGTGACTTTGAGTAAAGCCTAGTTGTAGTAGTGTATCAATCAGCTTCTTATTCCATTGTCTTGGAGCCTACTTAAGTCTGTATAGAGGTTTATGTAGTTTGCAGACTCTATGATACCCTCCCTGGCTAGCAAACCCCTGAGAGATATCCATATATACCTCTTCTAGAAGATCTCCTTGTAGAAATGCATTGTGTACATCCATTTAAAATATAGGCCAGTGTTTAGCAGTAGCAACAGCAACCACAGACCTAACAGTCACCATTTTTGCCACAGGTGAAAATATTTCAGTGTAATCTAGGCCTTCTTGTTGATTGTACCCCTTAGCCATAAGTCTAGCTTTGTATCTCTCTACTGCTCCTGAGGTTGTGCACTTGACCTTGAACACCCATTTACAGCCAATTGGAACCTTGCCAGCAGGTAGATCAACAATACTCCATGTCTTATTTTTCTCTAAGGCTGCAATCTCAGATTTCATAGCTGCAATCCAGTTGGGATTTTTGACTGCTTCACGATAGGTTTTAGGTTCCTCAATAAAAGAGTAAGCAGTTAGGGAAGTATTGAATAAAGCAGAGATATGGTCATAGCTCACATAGTTGGACATAGGGTAGCAACAATTGACACTCTCTTTGCCTTGAGTAACATAGTCTTTCAGCCAAAGAGGTAGCCTGCTGATTCTAACTGACTTTCTTTCTGTGTCTGGTGCAGGCTGTGTGGGAGCATTGTGCACAGTTCCATTGGGCATTGCATCCATAAAATCAACTGGTGAACTTCCATCAGAAGGGACATGCATATCTGAGGGTGCAATAATTTCTTCATTGGTTGCTATGGTAGGAGATGTAGTTGAATTAGGGATATCTGGCATGTACTCTGGACTAGGAAGAGTAGAAAGGTCTAGCACATGAAACAAGGATGTAACTGGAGTGTCCAGGTATTGAAAAGGAAAAACATCTTCCTTGAACACCACATCTCTATTGACTAAAAAGCTCCTGGAGTGAATAGTATACATCTTATACCCCTTCTGTGTCATAGAGTAGCCAAGAAACACAACAGGGGCTGCCCTAGGAGAGAATTTATCTGCCTTCCTCAGATCAGTAACATAACCTAGGCACCCAAACACCTTTAGATAATCTAAGCTGGGAGGTTTACCATGCAATATTTCAAAAGGAGTCTTAGATTTATCTTTGAGAGCTGAGCTGATAGGTAGCCTGTTGATAAGATATACTGCTGTGAGCGCACACTCACCCCAAAATCTGAGTGGAATAGCTGCTTGAAACCTCAAGGCCCTAGCTACATTAAGAATGTGTATGTGCCTTCTTTCTGTAACTCCATTTTACTGTGGAGTGTAGGTGCAGGAACTCTGATAAACTATGCCCAGATTCTGTAGTAGGTCTGTCATCTGAAAGTTAAAAAAACTCACACCCATTGTCAGTTCTTATAATCTTTACTATGGAGGAGTATATATTCTCAACCATAAGGATGAAATTTTTGAGTGCAAAAATGACTTCAGCTTTAGAAGGTAATATAAAAATCCAGATATACCTAGAGTGATCATCTACCAGAGTTAGAAAGTACCTTTTTTCCATCATGAGTAGGCACTCTATATGGCCCCCAAACATCACCATGAACTGTATGAAAGCAACTAGTAGAAATAGTAGTACTCAAAGGAAATTGTAGCCTTGTTTGTTTAGCCAAAGGGCCTATTGTACAATGTTTATCAGAATTTGCACTATCAATAGTTTGAAACATAGATAATTTCTTTAGAACATCAATTGGCACATGGCCTAATCTTTTATGCCACAAGGCTACATTTATTCTACCATCCTTCTCCTTTATTGTATTTACAACAAGTGATGTTGAAATGTCCTTTCCTAAACTGTTCACAGATTGCAGTCTACTGTTAGAAGTGAGCACATATAGTCCAATATCTTCCTTACTAATCCCCTTCACCTTGCCACTGAATAGATCCCGAAAAATGCAGAAATCAGAAAAGAAACAGACTAAACACTTTAACTCTTTTGTTATATTTATATGGATAGTAAGTTGTACTTGAATTCTGGGATATGCATGACATTAGTTATCATCTGTTCTGGGAAGATATAGGTAGTTCCTATGTGTTTAACAGTGGCTAGACTTCTATATGGTAGGAGTACTTTTCCTTCTTTGAACTTATCACAGGGGTTAGATTCAGTCAAGGAATTCAAACTTCTAACCATATGATTAAAGGCTCCTAAGTCTACTATCCATTTAGTGAATTTAACGGCCCCATCAGTGACATCAGTAACATTTGTAGATCATTGTCCATACATGCTGCCATAGTTGCTTCATTGCTTTCACTTCCTTTTCCTAGGAGCTGCAGAATTTGTGAGTATTGTTCTGGTGTGAAGTGAGGCACTCCCACTGAGTTACTCTGATTCTGACTATAAGATGACTCTCCAGTAGTTGAGGTGTTTCCTGCAAAGTTAGTTGTGGTACCTCCAAAGTTTCCTCATGTTGGCCCAAGGTTTGAAGCTTTAACTGCGCTCCCAGTATGTACACCTTAACTGTCTTTTGCAAAGTTCCCTGCAGGGTTGTACTTCTTCTTTGACTTGAAGTCTGGTGGATAACCATGTAGCTTGTAGCAAGTCTCTCTGGTGTGGCCTTTGAAATTACAATAGTCACAGTACAAAGTGTTCTTTCTTGTCCTAAAGTTGTTCATTGAGTTAGAACCTCCTTTACTGTTGAACAAGGCTATGTTGCAAAGGTTGTAAGCTCCATTGTTGCCACTACTGAACAAAGTTTTCTCTTGATTGTCAACAGTATGTGTAGAGGTTGTTAATGATCGTCTACTCTCCGCAGAGATAATCATAGCATAGGCTTTGTTTATGGTAGGAGTGGGGGACATTATCATAATCTGATTACTGGACTGGGCATATGACTCATTTAGTCCCATAAGAAACTGCAAAAGTCTATGAGATTCAAAGTGTTCAGCATATTTTTTCGACTCCTCACAACCACACCTAGGACAAGGCATTAAGGCATCAAATTCTGCCCAAAGCTCCTTCAACTTTGAGAAATAGCTGGACACATAGGAGATTCCTTGAGACAAACTGGCTATCTGTCAATGTAGAAATAGAACTCTAGAACCATTTACCTTGTCAAAACTCTCCTTAAGGTTTGTCCAAACTTTATGAGCACTCGTAGCATAAACCATTCCACTTAGGAGTTTATTACTAACATAATTCATTATCCAGGAGAGTACTATTGCATTGCATTTCTCCCATAAGTCATGCAGTGATGGATCAAATTTTGACTTAGGATATCTACCATCAACAAATCCTAATTTACTTTTTCCGAGTAAACTAATTTGCATAGAGCTGCTCCATAGAGCATAGTTTTCGGGACCAGTGAGTTTGATCGAGATTAAAGAGCTACCTTGAGTGTCACAAGGTTGTAGAAATAGTGGATGATGTTGATCCACTGTTGGAATGACTCGATCAGCTGCTGGTGCAGAGCTGGTATCCAATCCAATGCCTGCATTCAAGCCAGAGCTACTGTCTTCTACCGCCATTGATGAAGATAAGAGAGAAAATCGGAATCGATAAATTCAATCGCTCAACCCTAGAATTGAGTTGAGAGAAACTGAACACCAAACTTGTCAAAAACACTTGAATTCAGAGTGAAGAAGCAGAAACAAAGCTCGGATCTACATCTCAAGCTCTGATACCATGATCAAATCTAGAGCAAGCTCTCATTGATCAAAGGAAGAAGATGATGGAAAACGGAGAGAACAATGAGCAGAAGAAAATGAGCTGTTTTTCACTAAATTGATCTCTATACAAATACAATGTATAACTCATATATATAACTACCACTAACTGCTACTGCTGCTTTAACTTACCAGTTGTGTACAGTTGTCGCTACTAAATAACTAACTGATTGCTAACTTCCTAACTAACAGCTTTCACTCTTCAACAAATCTCCATTAATTGCTTCTTTTCCAGCGATATATTTAGAAAATCGGCAACCTAACCGTTATAACCGTAGGTCGCTACTTGTGTCAGCGTCATATTAACACTTGTCTAAATTAATGATATATTTTCTCTCTCCTAGTTGGGGCCCTCAATACAAGGCTCACGATGCAAGGGGTGGAGCCATGCTGATTACGAGTTTGGCTAAACTCTATAACTTTGGTATAAATTTTATATTTGTCTCAAAAAGTTCATTAAAAATGTACAAATTATAATTTAGAACTCAATAACGTAAAAAGTCTAGATCCCTTAATACCTTAGCTTCAAATCATGTTTCCGCCTCTTCCCTAATGCCTATGCTTGGAATTCTCTCTCGCGTTTCCCAGAATGGGTGGCAACTAGATTAGGCTATACTTAGTTCTTTGATACATACAACTAGAGATGTCAAGAGCTGCACAAACTACTCTTGTATTATATTAGTTATGCAGATTATATGTTGGAAACCAAACATTGTACAAGTACTACGGAATTTTATGCAGATACTAAATTTTCTTATACTTCAAACAAAATATAGTGTATATACATCATGATTCACTGTTTACTATTTTCAACACAATTCTGTCTACTGCCCTCCAGTACATGCTCCTCCAATTGTCATCTATCAAGTATAAGAGTAGAAATACTCCAGAAAGTCCTGTTACAAAGCCCAAGAATATAACTACAACAAAAAGGACATTTTCTTGATCATTTTTGTTATCTACAGTTTCAGTGATAGATGGACCATTGTTACTGCAATTCATCCCACCAGGTGCACCACATAAGTATTTGTTTCCAATATATGCTGTTCCATCTTGATACAGTGTGTCAAAATGCAGACCGCTTGGAATCCTTCCACTCAAATTGTTATAAGACAAGTTGAGATCCTGAAGGAAATCTAACAGTGTTAATGTCACTGGAATTTCTCCTGTTAATTGGTTAGAGCTCAGATCCAACGACTCGAGGGAAATCATCTCACCAATAGTCTTTGGGATCACCCCAGTGAGATTATTATGTGAGAGATTCAGCAATGGAACTCCACTTAAAAGGCCAATTTTCTCAGGGATTTTACCAGTTAGAGTGTTGCTCGAGACATCGAATCCAGTGTTGTAGGAATACACTGACTCAAGCCATTGTGTCTGTCCTTTGGTGACTATTTCTAGCTGAGCACCAGTGAACTTGAGGGAGTAAACATAACCTAAGATGGTTGCCTCATTTTGTCTTTTCATCATCGTTTTCAAGCCATCAAGATTCTCAGGAATGGGGCCAGATAGATTGTTCCTTGAAAAACCAATATATTGTAGATTTTCTAATTTCACTAGCCCTTCTGGGATAGATTCATTGAAAGAGTTTGATGCAAGCACGAGGAGACGGAGGTGGTGTAGGTTGCCGATGAACTTTGGTATCCTTCCTTCAAATTTATTGCCTGCCAAGTTCAGAATCTCCAAATCTTGAAAGTTTTCAATCACTGTTGGAAAAGATCCTTCAAACTCATTCCCGTTCAGGTCCAAATAACGAAGGCTTGTAACGCGTTCAAGTTCTTTTGGAACACTTCCAGTAAGCTTATTTTGTCCAAGATTAAGGTAAATGAGAGACTTGCAGTTTCCAAGATTACGTTGAATGGTGCCTGACAAGCTATTATTGGAGAGATCAAGAACTTGGAGAATATTAGTTGCTTGGCAAAATGATTCAGGTATTGGACCATGAATTTTGTTTCCGGATAAGGATATGGACCTGATACCGGGAACTTCTCCTATCTGTGTCGGTATTAAGCCTACGAAGTTGTTGAGTGTCAAATCGATGACATTGACATTCTCGAGCTGAGAAGGGATTGGACCTTGAAGGTTGTTACTGGCCAAATTTACTATTGTTGGAAAAGGAGAAGATTTCAGCTGAATCGTTGGAGGTATAACTCCCTCAAAGTTATTCATACATAAATCTAGTACAGAGAGGGAAGGGAGATTGAACAACCAGTATGGTATGGCTCCTGATAGACTGTTGTTAGCCAAATTCAAGATTGTGAGGTTCGTCAAATTTGAGAAGAAATCTGGGATTTCTCCTCTCATGTTGCAAGATGTAAATTCCAAAATCACGGGCTGAAAAGTTTGCACAAAGGGTTGATCTTGATCGTCAATTTCCAATGACAATCCACTAGCACCTATACTAATTTGATCCAATCTAGAGTTTTGGAACAAAGACAACGGCATATTGCCATTCAGCTTATTCATCTGAATATAAAGATATGAAAGCTTAGGAAGCTGAAGTATGCACGAGGGAAACCGTCCTGTTAGCTCATTCCATTCTAAATTCAGGTACTCAAGGGAGGGGATTTGACAAATTGAAATTGGAATTTGCCCTTGTAATCTATTCTGGAACAGAGATAAGTATTGAAGACCTATTAAACTGGACATGGTTACAGGAAGTTGGCCTGTGATATTGTTGTCATTGAGCATCAGTACACTTAATTTCTTGAGGTTTGTGATGGAAGAAGGTATCGACCCTTGGATCGAGCATCCATCAGCTCGGAAAAAGGTTAATGAAGTTGAGTTGCTTAATGAAGGAGGAATCGTTCCACCTACCCCTGTGAAACTTATGTCAAGAAATGTCAACTTTGACCATGGGACTGAAAACATTGAAACAAGATTGATGATCATAGCAGGATTACCAGCAACATAAAGTTCCTCAAGTTGAGGAAGGTAAGGGATATGACCATGTAAATCGTTGGCACTAAAATCAAGAGTTGAGAGGGTTGTGAGGTTCGATAGCAGATCAGGTATCGAGGATGTTAGAGTGTTAGAACTCATTTCTAGAGTAGAAAGATTAGTGAGGTTAAGTAATAGCCCTGTCGGAATTCTTCCTGAAATTTTGCAGTAGGACAATTGAAGTGACATGAGATTAGAAAGATCTGATATTGGTTTAGCCCAATGAAATGATTCGGAGGCCTTTGATAGATCAACACCTGTCAATACAAGATATCTGAGGCCTCGGATTCCTTCTAACCACCTTAGATTTGGACTATATAATCGACCATAGCTGATAAAAGATGACATTGAACCAAAATCCAACTTTGGTGGTAATGTCAAGCTAATAGTAATAGAAGATAAATCAATTACTAAATTAGCACACGAAAGATCAAGTGACCTTAGAGATGTAAGGTTTGAAAATTGTGTGGAGATGGAATCTTGAAACATGACATTTGAGAGATTGAGATAAGTCAACTTTGTTAAGTTTGATATCTCAGGAGGTAGTTTAGAGAGCATGAAGTTGTTGAAACTCAGGTCAAGATATTGCATATGGTTAAGAGTGAAGAGCAATGGAGATATAGTACCATTGAGGGCATTTGATGTGTTGTTAGGATCTGAAAAAAGTTCCTTATTGGCATTGATTATGAATTCATCCGGATTAGGATTCCGGAGATTGACAACTACAACATGTCCTGAACTTGAACATTTGATTCCTTCCCAATTGCAACAGTTTCCGCCTAGCCAAGAAGATAACCGATCAGATGGATCAGTCAGCATTGATTTGAAGCTCAGTAGAGCTGCTCTTTCAGTTTCATGGCAGCCATAAACGATCGAAAATTGATTAAATAAAGTAGCAAATACAAGGAAAGTTTTGAGGGTCCACATAGCTTCAAGATGATGAACAATATCCTAGGTTGTCAAGTGTTAAGATTTATATACCAGTTAAATGCTTATTGTCTAGCTAAACACTTGAAGTTGAACTATATTATTCTTAAGTTTCTTTCTTTGAAAATCTTCATGAATAAAACAGCATTATTTGGTCTAGGTTTCTACTAATGAATTGAAAAAGATTGCATTCTACAGTCAATGACTTAATTTATATTATTCAAGATTCTCCAGAAACTTGATTTAATAGGAAAAAAAATGGGACAGAGTGTTTGTAAGGTGTCTTCATTTCACTGTTAATACCAGCAATTTTCAAATTGTTTAAAGAGAAGGTGTTTTACTTTGACAAAGTCCTCTATCACATCTCTTCTAGGTTTGAAAAATTGATATATCTGATTTTAGTATATATCATTTTATATGCCATTGGTGTTGAAAACTATGTGTGGTCATTTTCCATGCCTTTTACAAGTGAGTAGCTTTTGCTTTTTGTAATATAATATAATGCAATTACTTCTTCAATCCAATAAATGAACAGTGTCTTAATCATCTTTTCACCTTTAGTTCTAAGAGGCCTTTTATATTACATACTTTTGATATCTCTCAATCTTTAATCAAAGGTCTGGAACAACAGTCCGTTAAGGAGCGCTTTACCGTCTTTAGTTGTGTGTCTGACGCCAAATTTGAATAGTCAAGCCAATGGACTAGGAATACATGGTAAAAAAAAAGTAATGAAATATCACTTATCAAAAACTAAAAGCACTAAATCTGGTCTCCTTTTATATATACTAGTTTCTCAACCTGTGTTTTGCAGTGTACGTCAAAACTTGTAGTGTACGATATTGTAAAATTATCAATGTTATTAAAACACAACTTTGGATAAGTAATTATGAATAAAAAACGATGGGAGACTAGGGATCAAATTGCAATAGAGAAACAAAGACTAGATGATTTCTAAGTGATGTCTTCTCATTTCTAAAGTCTTGATGGTCAAAGTTACTCGATGTCTATGCTGGTGGAATGTAACATGTACTTGATGGAATAGTAGAGATCCGCACAAGCTGGCCAGACACGTGTTATCAAAGAAAAATCAACAAGAATAAAAAAGGCAAAATACATAGTTTATCCATCAACCTTGCAACGAAATCCCTGTTACACACCTCTCGTTCACGGGAAACCTTTTACACACTCAACCTTTCAAAATTGTGTCAAAGACGCACTACTTTTGACCAGATAGCACTTGCGTGTTTACACACAAAAAGAAGCACGTGAAGCCCATAAAAAATCCCATTTTTTGTCTCCCCTCCTCACAGGAACCCCTCCCCTTTCCTCTGGTCTTCTTCCTCAGACCACCCTCCCCCTCATCTTCTTCTCTGGATAGAATTTTTGTTGGTTTTTGTTAGTTTATGGTCCAAATATTATGAAAACTATTTAATTGTGATAGATTTAAAAACTTTACCACTAGATTTAATGTTTGGTGAAAAAATCTAGAATCCACCATTATTGGGGTATCGAAAAAAGCTTGAAAATTCAATTGGGTCTAGTTGATAACTGGGTTGTTGAACTCAATTTGTTGCTCGATTATTTTCGGCTTGTTGTTTAGATAGTGTGGTTAAATTTTTGGTGTAGTTGGAAACTTTTTCTTGTTGTTTAGATAGTGTGGTTAAATTTTTGGTGTAGTTGGAAACTTTTTCACAAATAACCATGGTGGCAGCAACAATGGTGCTTAAGATAAAATATGGGAAGATGGGTTTTAATTGTAATTTCTAATAATTTTTTTTCTTTTTAAAGTCAATGACACGTGTCACGATCCTATTAGGGCGTGACTTTCACGTTATAAAAATTGGTTAAGTACAAAAGTGGTGTGTCTTAGACACACTTTTAAAAGATTGAATGTGTAAAAGGTTTTCCGTGAACGAAAGGTGAGTAATAGGAATTTCACTGCGAGGTCGATGGGTATTTTGCTGTAAAAAATATGCTAATTAGACTTTACATGGCTATAAAATTACTAAAACATATACCTGGTTGCCATGTTATCAGAATAATAGTCCCCCAAGGGGTCCACATTATATGGATATTTTAAAGGAGTTGTTCACATACAAAAGATAAGATTTTAGCTTCTATACCAACCTTTGAAATGGAGAAATAACAAGTAAATTACTTGTCTTCTCTATGGCCTTAACTGCTGGAAGTAGTGCTTATTCTCTATCAAGATTTTATGTGCAAGCAGCTGACACCAAAGAAATTAAAGTGACAACAAAAAAAGAGACATGGCATGGAAGAAGAGAGCTTCTATTTTCAACAGTTATTGCAGCTGTCCAAGTTAATGATTCTAAAACTGAGCTTCTCAAAAGTATGTTGCTTTGATTTCACATTTCATTAATCTTTAATGGTCACAATTTTTATCACAATAATTGAAAATAATTTTCCTTTTAGGATATCTCAAGAAGTCAGAAGAGAACAAAGCCAAGAATGATAAGGAGGTAAATATCATGAGTTAAAATTATATATATATTGACGGTGTAAATTGATACATGTAACTAGTGGCAGAGCCACCTTATCCAAAGGAGTATCATTCACATTGTGTAGCTTGGAATATTTTTTTTATATGTTTATATTACTATATGATTACTCCCCTTGACTTTTTCGTATGTTTAATTCTTTATATTTTGACACGTCTTAGTGAAAATTTTAGCTCCGTCACTAACCGTCCATATAAAAGGTGGGATTAGTACCTGAAAACATTAAAATACATTAGTATATAAGGAAATCCAGATATCGTATATAGATCTGTTGACATACTGCTAAAGGAATTTCTGAAGTGCATAAGGTCAAAATATTTGTGGATTTTCATTCTCTTTGTTTGGTTTTCTACAATTTGCACAGTTATATCATTTCTACATCCTCTGCTTTGTTTTAATTATATTTACTGCTTTTTACCTTCGCTTCTTCTATGTAGAGATTGGACAGTTACTATAAGCGCAACTATGGAGACTATTTTGGCTTTCTAGAAGGTGACCTGAAGCAAAGGAAAGAGCAACTCACTGAATCAGAGCAAGGCATTCTTAAGTGGCTTGAAAGCAACAAATGAGTATCTCTCAAACTGGTTGTGAAGGCATATATAAGCCAAATCATAGAAAGTTTTTGGTGTAGTAATTGTATAAACTGGATACTATATTAGCATCAAATTCTTCCTCTCACAAGCCTATCAAACTACTTTGGGACTATTTGTGTAAAGTTCTCTGTGCTACATTGGCATTTCAGGGCTGTAATAGTTCCATTTCGGACAAGTTCAGGGGTTTAACAGGTCCCTTCAAAGTACAAGCGTGTGACTGGTAATTCGAGACAGATTCCGGGGTTTTCTTAAGCCTTATATCCTACTTTTTCCATCCTTCCCACTTTCATTATACGGGTGTCAGACTATATTGCTCGGACTCGTATACGTATGTTGAGACAAATGAAGAATCCACACAACATAAGTGAGAGATGAGATGAGATGAGATGAGATGAGGCTTCTCTTAATATTGTTTAGCTATTTTTTTCATGTCTCCAATGTTGAAAGGAAGTTATACAAAATAATATTTAGTGACATACTCTTCTCTCATACTGCTGCAAGCCAATTAGTGCTATGCATTATTTGGGTGAAACTCCGAACCGATCCGTGTTATTCGGATTGGTTCGGATCGGATTTCAACTCTTTGGATCGGATTTCGGATTAAAGATTTAATTATTTTGGATATTGGATAGGATATGATTTGGCTTAATTTAAATCCGAACCGATCCGAAATACGAAATATAGGGTCTACATATAAAAATGAGGGTACCATCATATAAATCTAGGTTTCATTTATCTTATTTCTCTCATATTCTTTCATGAAGAACACATATCGACAGAAGAGAAGGCTCATTTGTCTAGTTGAGAAGCTTGCAACAACACTTCATGTTGATTGTCTTGTGCAAAATAATAGGAGAAGTTTAAACAGTAAGAGCATCAAAAATATATTTTATTATTTGGAAACAATTAGTAAGAAATTTGGACATATCTTGTTTCTCTAAGTTTTCTTGCTGAGAAACATAAGTGAGGTTAATCATGTCCTTATATTTTTGTTCTAGCTGGGTATGTGATGGTTGAAACGGGTGTGCTTTTGTCTGTTTCTCAATCCAAGTATTTTGTGATCTTACATAGTTTCCTTATCATGAAAGATTTGAGTAATTATATGGAATGTTATGTATGACTCGTTAGTTATAGCTAGCTATACTTAAAGTCTTTTATTTTAGCATCTTAATATATAAGCCTTACAATCCGAACCGTAATCCGAAATATTTATCCGATCCAAATATCAAAATTCAATCCGAACCGAATTTAATTTGGTTCGGATTCGGATTGCAATTTACCAAATCCGAAATTATAGTCCAAAATATGCCAAATTCAATCCAATCCAATCCGATCCATGAACAGGCCTAAAGCCAATAATTCATTAGCATAACAAGGTCAAGATCATTCCAATTTGAAGCTTTAAGGATTAATTTTGGATATGCGTCTACCAGTGAAGGGGAGCTTTGGCGCAAAAGTAAGAGTTGTCACTGTGTAATCACGAGGTCAAGGTTCAAGCCTGGGAAACAGGTAGCGTCTTACAAAAATACAAAGTAAGTCTGCATATAATAGACTCAATATGGTTTGACCATTTTTTGGACCCCGAACATAAAAGAAGCTTAGTGCGGCTGACTTTCCTTTTATTTAGCATTAATATAAAGAACATTAGTGGAAACTCTACAAATTCCATAGTAATTCAGCTACTGGAAAAGAAATGTACACTTACATAATAGAAATTAAACTCCTAGAAAGACACGGAAGAATGTAGATGTCCATTTTAGCTAATTGAATCTTCATTCTCATACTTGTAAATTGTAATCCATTATACTGTTTTGAATGATGTTCTCCCTCCAAATTTGAGTTAAGCAGCTCTAAGATCTTCTACTAGTATTCAAATGTGGGTGCTTTTATGAATCATAACATCGTATCAACAAAAGTTGTTATTCAATTTGCATATTTATGCAAGCATATGGTTTATAAATTGTTTAAAAATTCATTTTGGACTAAAAAAATTAATGAATTTATAAGCTGTTAATATGGCATAAAAGAAAACATATATCCTTTCTTAGCGCGAGTAAAATAATGTTAGAAACTACAAGCGAACAAATTAGGAACTACTTCTGCTAGAAATATTACCATATTTAATGATCTTACCAGCTAATGTAATGGTACTTTTTACAGCAAAATCAGAAGTCATTTGCACATATTCAACAATTCTGTAATCTTTATAGAGTGATAAGTATTTATTAACAAATAAAAAGCAACATTATCAGCTCCAAAAATTGGTAAAGTCACATGCCAGACAATCTTTCCACCCCGAAAAACAAAAGGGAAAGAAGCAAGATGAAAAAGTACGTTCACAGAGTAATTCGCTTAATTATGTCTTTTCACGCAGCAATCAAGATTAGACACCTCCAAATTTGGGGTAGATACTTTCAACTTTAGGTAAGTCAAGTAAAAACTTATCTGCGTCCTTTATTTACACTAAACCATACAAAGTTACATGTATATGTACATATATATTTTTTACTTAATCATGATAAATTGATATAGTTTCATGTAAACATCAAAATCTGGCTTGTTAATACATTGACTGTGCCCAATGTGAAAAATGCAAAGATGGTACGATCCTTGATTATCTAAAGGATATGGGTGAGAGCACACATCATTTGACCAATGAACATGGCCAGGGGTGATGTAGTGTGCAATAACGAGTTCAATTGAACTCATAACTTTTAATGCGAAGTAAAAATTTATATGTAACAATTCGTTAAAATTGTAAAAATAGCAGATATGAACCCATAACCTTAAAACAAAATTGATTCAATACTAAAACCTTAAAAGTTGACACTACTAGAAATTAGGGAAAATCCGACCGAGCAATACCAACCAACGTTGGTCGGTCAACAAAAGCGACCAAAAAAAGATCTCGCTCACTGTCAAAGCGCGCGGGCGCAGTGAACTGTAATTGTGAAAAGATTGGAAGGGGACTAAACAGGAACAAGAGGGATCCACCGAAGAAGATCCTTATCCTTCTCCTTCTCTTTTTTCGGAAGAAAGGTGGGATCCTATTCTTTTTTTGTTCACCCTCATTTCAATTGATTGGATGCTTGAGCCTCAGAGATTTTCGTGAGTTCCTCGTATATAATAAAGTATCTTCCGCCCTCTTCCACAACTATTTAGATTTCTGAAAAATCATAAAATATTATGCGGCCATACAATATACTCTAAATTCTCGTTGTCGAGGGAAGTGAATCAACAAATGCATGCAAGGAGGGATGTAATTCAGGAGATGTAGTTCATCTATAACAAGAACAATAGATGCAGACATTCTGGAATCAGAAACTGAAAAAAATCAGGTCTCTTGTAACGACCCGACCGGTCGTTTTGAGCCATAGCGCGTCGTTCGGCGGTTTGAGGCCTTGAGTAGTTTCACTTCAAGTATTATGACTTGTACATATGGTCGGAATTGAATTTCGGGAAGTTCAGAGTTGATTTAGAAAGAAAATTCTAATCTCGGAAGCTTTAAGTTGGAGGAATTGACTAAGGTTTGACTTTTGAGTAAATCGCCTCGGAATCGGGATTTGAAGGTTCCAACAGGTTCGTATGACGATTTCGGACTTTGGCGTGTTAGGATCGGGAACCCTGGTAATGCGAAATTTAGCCAAACAACGGTATAATGACAATAATAAAGACAATAAAAGTTAATAATAGCGGCAATTAAAGCAGATAAAGAAGACAATAATTTAACGTAGTTCGGTCAGTGTGACCTACGTCCACAAGCGGAGAGCAGTAATTTCACTATACCAATAAGAGTACAAAAGAGAGTACAAAATCAAAGTAAAAAACACTCTAATTAATCCCAAATACCCTAAGAGAATAACCTCACAAGATCACTCCAAAGAAAGGGTTCACACAAGTGCTTCCCAACACTCAACTCACACACAAAACACTCTTAATAAAGGAGGAAAGGAAGAAATAAGAAATGAAGACTCAAGTCTTGTTGGTGTGTTTAAAATGAACTAATGGCCTTCCTTTTTATAGGCAAAAAAGTCTTGGCCTCTTAGGTATAAAAGAAGAGATACAACTCATGCAAATTATGTCCACCACACAATGTAATATTTTTGGGTCCCAAAGAATATTGCCAACAAAGTCCACACTTTGCAAAAATATTTATGCTTATGTGAGATGGACTCCATTAGCCAAAATATTCGCCATATTACAAATCTCCACCTTAGCCTAATTTTGGCTGATATAGTAAATTTGCTCCACCATCTGCGCAAAAGCCCCAATGGGCATATGTTAAAATTTAACGCCATCAAAATCACTCAAGTTATCTGATACCGAAACTGTAGTAGAGCCTATAACAGTGGATTCTAATAAAGTATACAACGAACCAGATCTGTGTGCTTTCATAATCACAAGAGCACCATGAGAAACTTTCAGAACTCCACCTTCACTTGTGTACTTACACCCAAGAGATTCTAGAATGCCCAAAGAGATGAGATTTTTCTTTAAGTCAGGAACATGTCTAACATCGGTGAGAATTCTCACCACACCATCGTACATTTTGATTCGGATTGTACCTTTTCTAAAAACTTTGCAGGCAACATTGTTGCCCATCAAGACAACTCCAATTGTTGCCCATCAAGACAACTCTACCTCCAATAGATTCATATGTGGTAAATAAATCCCAATTTGGACACATATGATAGGAACAACTCGAATCTAAAATCCACTCATTGTTAGATTTGAAACTATTATTAGTTGCTAAAAAATAGTTTCCTCAATCTCATCAACAGTTACACTTGCTTCGGCAGTGTCAATATTTTTGTGCTCATTTTTCCTTTCCTTTCCTTATGCTTTTCTTTAATTTTCAGCTTATAGCATTCGGAGATAATGTGATATTTCTTATGACAATAGCGACACTCTAAATTATTGTATCTGGATATGGAGTCGGATTTGCCCCTAACAAACAAGCCAACTTCCGCTTGAGTTCCACTAGCTTCCCCCAATAATATCACTATCTATCTGTTCTTTTAATTTTAAGATAGATTTAATATCCTTATAAGAGATATTATCCTTTTCATAAAGTAAAGTATCTCTTATATGCTTAAAAGATGGGGGTAAAGAACAAAGCAGTAATACGGTTTGATCCTCATCTTTAATTTCAGCATCTATATTACTCAAATCCATAAGAATGGAATCAAAGGTGTCAAGATGAGAGAGAATATAGGTACCTTCACCCATACAAATTGTATAAAGCTTCTGCT